ATCTGCTTACCCTTCCAGAGCACCTGAGATCACACCAGGTTTTTGGTGGGGTTTGTGTTGCTCAGTCTTTAGTTTTCTATGTTGTGTTTGGTGTACTATTGTTTGTCTGTTGGTCTTTTTCTTTTTTAGCCATGGCGTTGTCAGTTTATTTTCGACTCATCAGTTTGAATGTCCCTCTGGTATCTTTTGCCTCTCTTTTAAGTATAGAGCATTAAAATTAATATTATTATACATATACTGATATATTTGCCTTTATTCAAAAGGTAAAAAGTTGAAATCAACAATTTGTTTGGTATGCAAATTTCTACATACATTTTACATGCAATTACTACCTTTAAATATACAAAATTTTAAATAATTACGAACTGAAACATGTATTAAGTAATGTGTAAAGATACCATTACTTTTCATACCTAATAACCATTTATAATACCTTTCCTGTTTGTAACACTGTGTATGGATCTATCTGTCTAATACTTATTCACACAATTAAACAAAAAAATTATACTATCTGTGGAGTGTCTTTAGATGAATGAGTGGCATGTATTTCAAGTAAATAACCATTTACATGTAGTTATCAAATAATAGAATATTTCACATTGAAATGATACAAATAACAACATATATACATGTAAAGCTACTATTTCATCAGTCTTATCTTATCTTCTATACATTTCTTTGTACTAGAACCAATGAGCTGATGATAAAAAGCAAATATCCTTGGGACTTTAATCAAAACTAATATAATCTTTAGATATATCCTTTAACCTCCGGTCACAATGAAATCTATCACTTATAATGCTTATGTTTAAAATTCCAATCTATTACATTACACAATGTAAAATATCCTCCAATTGTATCACAAGTTATTGACCAGTGCTGGCACTATAATGTAACACCCAGGATTATCATGATTAAGATGAGAATGCCACTAACAAAGCTTACATAACTCATGTAGACGGCCCGTGTAGCTCTCTTCTGTGCTAGGCCATACAGTCCTTTACCTAGATGAATCTTGGCTTTCCAAGCATTCTTGTTGGCATAAGCACCAATACACATACAAAAGATCACACTCAAATATGTAAAGATTAAGATCTGGTTAAAAGATTTGAATGGACGTGGTGTAAGATCTTCTTCAGGAACTTTTCGAATGAGATGAGGAACGGTAACAGTCGTCTCCCTGTAAGGGTTTTGTAAGGTATTCTGGTATGCTGGTTCGATGGCATAGGATGGTATTTCAGGAGCATGATTCTCCTCATGGCTCTCTAACAATGATACAATCACTTGGTTCTGGTCCGTCTCGGCAGTTCGATTTAATTCCTGGTTTTCATGGAGAGGCTGTTTTTCAACATGATTCTCTCTATCAGTTTGCACAGTTGAAGCCATTGTACAATTGTTTTGTAAGATCTGAAAGTATACATTAATTTAAAATTGATCAACATGATAAACTTCATTATCTTATAAAGCATTTTAAATCTATTTCTTACTTTCAATCCTATTATTTACGTGAAAATGACTGGTTAAAACCTTTAATATCATGCATTACATGCATTATGCATATATATCAAATTTCTAACTAATTATTTTTTTGTTTAATATTTGGATCTTACATATCAGTCTTACTTATATGTCCATAGGTCATTGAACTGGTGTTTACAAATCTGTTTGAAAGAGAATAAAATCATAATTTGTTAATCAAAACTATTTGGGGGGGTCTACATACAATGAAATAGAGATCAGTCTGTAGTCAGCATGGTCAGTCCATCAATGCATTTATCACATTTTAAATCATTTTGAATAAAAGGAGATGTGGGTTTAATAAATGATTAAGCAGCCCAAATGGTACCAAAAAACAATCCCCTTGACAAATGCTTGACATGGTAGCTGTTTACAAATGTATTTTCGAAAAAGTGTGTATGATATTCAAAGAGATGGGACGATTTGATCTAGATTGTGATGTTAAAACAGGAAACTTTGGTCACAATTGTAAAGAGATGTCATCTGAAACCCTTTAGTCAAGTGTACTTTATATTCATAATATTACTGTTAAGTGTCAATATCCTACAGGTTAATTATTAGCTAAGGGTTTATATATGTGCACAAAGAGGCAAATAGTCAATTTAATTCAATTCAAAATATTTTAATATTGTTCAAATATCAAATGTACATTTAAACAAAGGCATTGGACAAAAAAGCAAAGCCTATACAAATCCTTTCCCATACACAAGGGATTGAATAATCTGATAGTATATGATATATTTCTGATAATTCATAGATTATTCATTAACATGATTATAATGCAGCAAGGTTGGGCGGTATTTACCGCCCCTGGTATTTACCAGCAGTATTTGCCAGTATTTACCTTCCCGGACAATACTCCTCAAGTGGTCAATACTGGCAAATACTGGTCAATTGAAATTTTCATGGTGGTTTTTATACCCCCGTTAACGGGACGTATTATGGTATACCCTTGTCCGTCTGTCTGTCCGTCCGTCCGTCGTCAACATGTCGGACAATAACTCAAAAACGCTTTAACCAATTTGCATGAAACTTTGGTGAATTGTTTATATCTATTGATGTGACCTCCCTTTCGATTTTTATAAATTTTGGATTTTACGTTTCTGAGTTATGGGGTTTTATTCATTAAAAAAGGGGGATTTTCCAGTTTTCGGACAATAACTCAAAAGTTCTTTGAGCAGTTTTTATGAAATTTTGGTGACTGGTTTATATCTATTAAAATAACCTCCCTTTAGTTTTTTTTATAAATTTCTGATATGACTTTGAGGAGCAATAGAGCTTTATTCTTTGAAAAAGCGACGGGTGTATCATGCGCTCAAGGCAAATCTGTTTATTACTATTTATTGAAGTCATGGAAGTAAAAACTTGATAAAAAGTAAGATATATTTAAACTTTTATCTTTTAGCATGTTTCAGCTAATAAAATGAATGAATCTGATATGTTTTATTAATTTTTAACACTTATACCTTCTAATTTAGTCCTTATAAATTATGATATTGCATACTTTAGATATATAAAGAATTGACACATTAATTATTTCAACATTTATAAATCCAGATATTTTTTCATTGAAAATGCATAATTTTTACAGGTAAATAAAAGTACAGGTAAATGAAGTTACAGGTGTATTATTACCTATCATTTGGCATTGCTAGGTGTGAAAATTTAATTACCAAAACAACAGCCCCCAATGAATGATGACAAAACATGGGGTGAAAGTCAAACAAGTGATTTTTGAAGATGCCCTTAAACAAGAAAATATTTCCTGTCTATTCAACTTTGAGACAAAAATCATCTTCCTGCAGGAAATGGAAGGTACATGTACAAAGGACCTCTTATGGCTTCTGTAATGTATGGTTTAAACCAAAAAATATATAACATGTATAATGTGGTATAAATTTTATCTTTACATAATCAATTTTTACATACACATAGTACAACCACCTTGACCTTAAGCGCCAAAATGAAACCTTAAGACCCTATTTGGAACCTTTATACAATATTAGAAGACAACAAAACCAGTGCAAGATGTAATGATTACAATGCTATAGTCAGTGCAAAAGCCACCTGACGAGTTCCATTGGCAGGGACGAAACAGTTTTTATCTTTTGTAAAAATAAATCATGGTAAATCACTGTTTATTAAGAATTTACAATAAAAACAGAAATGAAAACATTTAAAATGACTTTAACCACTTACATTATTTTATTACTAACAGTAATTAACCAGGTAAAGAGTGGTTTTTATAGTAATGTCCGTTCAAAATTTCAATCGACCAGTATTTGCCGGTATTTACCGCCGGCATGGTCAATACTAGTATTGACCGTTTTTTTGCCAACCTTGTATTGCAGCGAGTCAGGGGAGACAAATAGTCATGAGATTTAAACCCGCTGCATTTGTTTGCACCTGTCCTAAGTCAGGAATCTGATGTTCAGTAGTTGTCGTTTGTTGATGTGGTTCATAAGTGTTTCTCGTTTTTTATATAGATTAGACCATTGGTTTTCCTGTTTGAATGGTTTTACACTAGTAATTTTTGGGGCCCTTTATAGCTTACTGTTCGGTGTGAGCCAAAGCTCCGTGTTGAAGACCGTACTGTGACCTATAATGGTTTACTTTTATAAATTTTGACTTGGATGGAGAGTTGTCCCATTGGCACTCATACCACATCTTCTTATATCTATAATCAAGACAAAAACAAATTGAAAACAAATACAATGCCAATAGGTTTTACAAAGTGGGTGGATTGGATAAAGGCGTGAACTCTTATGAACATGATGAATATTAAAGAACAGACAATTAAACCCTCAATTTATATTGCAGCAATGAAGTTAAGAAAAATGTTTTTAAAAAATCTTTTCTATTATATACTTCATGTACTTGTATAGTCCAATAGTCCACTAATTAGGTTTTTACACATTACAATGTACCACCAGTGCACCACATCTACTTATTTCTATAGACTTTCGAATTCGTGCACTTTCCTGTAAATTTGTTACGTCAAAAATCTTACGTTATTACGTCACAGTAAGAACCGATTTTTTGATGACGTCGTTTACACCGACTGACCCGGGTAAACCGGTGTTTTAAACTCATTCATAAAAACAAGATTAGTGGATATAAAAATGATTGGAGAGAGGGGAAAATTCATCTTAAGCAAAATTATCAAAGTTAAAAGCTTTTGGTTCGATTTGAAAAGAATGAAATGTGTACCTTTAAATTGCACTGTCTTTTTTCAAACCCTATACATTTTCATAAAAACACAAAACAGTTTCTCATTCGATCAAATCAGGAACGTAATGAATCATCAGACTAAAATGAAAATAATTATCGGTGACACAAATGGATGTTTTCCGGAATTATAGTATACTTTAATATTTTTATAAAAACAGTATCGTATACATGATGAAAAAAACAAAACTTTTTATATCTTTGGCCTTTTTATCTCATATACCATTAAGGTTGATTTTTAACTATAATTTATTCGTAAAATGTTACAAGCGGTACTGATTTTCGTGGGCGTAAGCAACTTGCCACCTGACATAAATTGAGTCGACACTTTTTCATATTTTGTAAGTTTTCTGGCAATTAGAAAGAAAATCTGTGACTGTACTAGCTATATACTTAAATTTAAACATGTGAACACTTAAATAACAAGAGTTAAGTTTTCAATTTTAAAAGAGTGTGATTTTCAAGTTCCAACTTCTCCAAATATTTATGACGTCTTGAACAGGTTGGGACCAAACCCCCTATATTCATGATATTGGTGGTAATACCTGCATAGAGTGATTACCCTTCTATTGAGTGATACAATTATCCCTTTTAGAGGGATATATTTGTTTAGACTGGATTTAAAGCAGGAAGATGGCAAAAGTGTCTTATTTATGCATCACACACATTGATCAAGGCTTTAAACCATGTGTGTTGTGTGTAGATAAATGTAACAGGTTTGCAAGTAGAGTATGATATTTTTTTGCAGGTAAAAAATGGATCTAAGTGGCAAGTTGATCATTAAAGCTCAGCTTGGTGAAGATATAAGAAGGATTCCCATACATAATGAAGACATAACTTATGATGAACTAATGTTGATGATGCAGAGAGTTTACAGGGGAAAACTGAAAAATAGTGATGATATCACTATAAAATATAAAGACGAAGGTAATATACAGTACACAAGAGGTATACAGTACACATATACACAACAGGTATATAGTACACATGTACACAACAGGTATACAGTACACATGTACACAACAAGTAATATGCAGTACACATGGTACACGACAGGTAATATGCAATACATGAACAATACAAGGTCATTCAGTGAAATTCTCTATTGCTGATGTTTAGTGATTCTCTGTTTAGCAGGATTGATTGATTGATTGAGGTGTTTAATATAAAAATAAGGAGATGAGGTATGATTGCCAATGAGACAACTATTCACCAAAGTTCAAATGAAATGGATGTAAGCAATTGTAGGCAACTGTACGGCTTTCAACAATGAGAAAAACCCATATGGTATAGTCAGCTATGAAAGGCCCCGACATGAAAAATATGAAATGATTCAATTGAGAAAACTAACTGCCAAATTTACATGATTTATAACAAAACAATTTAGGAAAAACAAATATGACCGACATGAACCTACGACAACCATTGAACTGCAGGCTCCTGACATCGGACAGGCACATAAAAAATATGGTGGGGTTAAACATGTTTGTGAGCACTCAACCCTCCCCCTAACCTGGGACAGTGGTGAAACAGCACAACATAAAAACAAACTGTAAAAATCAATTGAAAAAGGCTTAACTCGTCAGATCGATACAAAGCAGAACAATCACAAAAAATCAAACCAGACGTGGTTTTGGCACTTTCAGTACTCTTGCCTAAATCGTAAAGGCCAGTTTTTTTGGTGGAATAAGCTGGATTGTCCAGAGAGATCCATGACCTTCAGGAGGAAATTGGTGATAATATAATTTTCACAAAATGTAGCAGGATCATTGCTGGTGCTTTCAAATCATAACACAATTCAATCAAATCGCTGTCATTTATTATAAAATGTAATTTTCAGAGAATCACCAGGCAGATTTAGAGGTTACCATCATGGACATACACTTGCCTCTTCTAAAAGGATTTTATTGTCCCCCTTGCAACTCATTGCAGGGGAAATAAAAATTCCTGAAGTCTGTCCTTACGGTCTTGTAGAAGAATGGTGTAGAATTCTCAGATTTTTATCAAATTTATTTTATATCTGTATTCAAAGATTAAGCATGTTCAGGTGTAAATGTCTCCAACAATTTCGAAAATCAGTGCTGATCAACTATTTTTTTAAAAGTTATGCCCCTTGGAAATATAAATTATATGAAAAATGGCATTATAAGTGCTCTCAAGCCATCATTTCTTGCAACTTTGTTATGAAATTTATATTGAAGGTTTATATCAGCAACGTCTGGGACAAGCTTGCAAAATCAGAGCTGATCAATTATTTTCATGAGTTATGTCCCTTAGAAATGTTAATTCTATAGAACATTGTATAGTGAGTGCTCTTCCATGTACAATTTTGTGCCAGATAGTTATGAAATTTATATCAAAGGTGTATACCTGTTATATCAGCAATGTCTGACAAATTCTAAAATCAGTGCAGATCAACCATTTTTAGAAGAGTTATGCTCCTTGGAAATAATTATTCTATTGAAAATTGCATTGTAAGTGCTCACAAGCCTACATTTCTATAAAGATTTTTGTAAAAAGTTTTTTAAGAACCAAAAGAAAAAAATTGCACAGGAACAGTAAAATATGTGCAATACAGCAGACATTGGAACTCTGTTATTTTATTGTGATTTTGATTTTCTCTTCCATCAATATCTAGATCTACATCTATTTTTTCATATACCTATATTCATAAAAGGCAGAATAATGATAACATAAATAGATTACCTATGTCAGTCAGGATCCTTCATACTAGAACAATTACAAAAATCTTTATTTTAAGAAATACATTATTTGATATAACAAATTATCTCCCTTTACTCAGAAAAATCTACTTATGGATGTAATCCTTTTATAGCATGGAAATTTCCATGTTTTGGAATGCACTACATTCATGACATTATTTACAGAATTTTCATTCTCTGGATCTAAGATAGTTTACATAGGAGTTCAACCTAAGTCCTTTTATTCTTACATATATATATATATGTAATAACAAACAATGTATTATATGGTCAGCAATAATCATATGTGTTTAGCAAATTACAGATGAATGGGCTTTGTGTTACACCTAAAATGTTTCCACCAAAGAAAACATCTTAGAGGGACAAGGTTTACAACTTCACAATGTAAATGACTGTTTAATTATAACATGTATAAGAAATATCTTAAACAATAATAATATTTGTGTGTATTTGTTATCATGGTTATTATATTTATTTGCTTTATTTCAGATAATGATCTGATTACAATCTTTGATGATTCAGATTTATCATTTGCTATACAGTGCAGCAGAATACTTAAAATTACATTGTTTGGTAAGTAATACATGTAATAAACAATTACATTCTTTAGAACAATTAATTTTCTTGGTAGATAAACATTACAAAAGGGGATTGATTGATAAGAAAGACAGCATTTTTTCCTTTGTCATTACTTGATGTTAGTTGGCTTGTCGTGTTGTTATAGAAAATTTCAAAATATATTTTTCTGTGCATCTCTCAGATATCTATGTCGTACAAATTGACGTTCTTGTGACTAGATTGCAGCCCATTGGCAATTAAGTTTGAAAAGAATATTTCTTGTCTTGTTTCCAGCCAACAGAAACTGCCAAAAGTAGAGTGTTAATGCATGTCATGTGGACATAAGCATTGTTGTTTGCATTTGTTTCTTTTAACATGTTTTGTTTTCTGAATGGGCCCTAGCATTTCATTGCTATCATAAAACAGTAAACATAGTAAATGAAAGGAAAAAACCATTTTATAAATTTGGTGCATCTGCAGCCTTTTTCTGTGTTAAACATCATCAGGAATACTCCAAATCAAATATTTGAAAGCCAATGATGTTTGAATGCTTGAAAGTTATATCACTGAAAGGGACCTTAAAAGAAAAGCCATGATCATCAAGGGTCAATATAAAATTAAGGAGAGGTGGTATGATTGCCTATGAGACAACTATGCACCAAAGTTCAAATGAAGTGGATGTAAGCAATTATAGACAACCATATGGCCTTCAAAATGAGAAAAATCCATACCATATAGTAGGCTTTAAATTTTTAATTTGTTAAAGAAGGAAATATTCAGAAATAAGTGTTAAGAATCATGTCCTTTTGTGCATTTTGTATTGATTGACAAACTGGCAACCTTTTAAATTTTTACAATTTTCAGATAAGTGAATACAAAGTTACAGGACTTTAAATGTCCAAATCAAGGTCATTTTTATGGCCAAGCCACATATAGCCTGACTGTGTAGTGTTACCATTATCCGCCATTCCGTAATGAACAGTTTATACAGACTTTTTTTTCAAAACGCCTTCACATATTGAGTCTATTTTTAGTATGTGAGTCTACTATGATGAGTTTCAGGTCAAGATTAAGTTTGGTTCGGCTCTGCTGATTTTTGCTGAAATTATGGTCTTTGGAAAATTCTTGAAAATCACAATTATACAGACTTTTTCTAAACTCATTTACATATTGAGCTGATTTTCAGTATGTGAGTCTACTATGATGAGTTACAGATTGAATTTACATCTGGTTCCCCCCGCTGATTTTTCCAGAAAATACGGGCTTTGGACTTTGAAAATTTTGTGAAACAGTCATACAGGATTTTTTTCAAAACTACTTCACATATAAAGCTGATTTTTAGTATGTGAGTCTACTGTAATGAGTAACAGATGGGTTTTACGTTTGGGTACACTCCTCTGATTTTTAGGCAAAATTACAAGCCTTGGACTTTGCAAATTTCTTGAAAATAACAGTTATAGTGACTTTCATTCTCAAATTTCCACTTCTGAAAATGGCTTCAAGCTTTTTATACGACCGCAAAAAAATTTTTGTGGTCGTATATTGGTATGACGTTGGCGTCGTCGTCGTCGTCGTCCGGTGTCGTCGTCGTCGTCCAGCGTCGTCCGAAGACACATTGGTTTTCGCACTCTAACTTTAGTTTAAGTAAATGGATCTTTATGAAATTTTACCACAAGGTTCAATACCACAAAAGGAAGGTTGGGATTGATTTTGGGGGTTATGGTAATAACAGTAAAGGAATAAGGGGCCAAAAAGGGGCCAAAAATAAGCATTTTTGTAACTTCCAGACATAACTTGTGTGTTAGTGTATGGATCTCTCTGACATTGTACCACAAGGTTCCATATCACTAAAGGAATGCTGGGATTGATTTTGGGGGTAATTGCCTCCAAATTTTAGGAATTAGGGGCCAAAAAAGGGGCAAAAAACAAGCATTTTTCTAGTTTCATGACAATAACTTGTGTGTAAGTATATGAATCTTTCTGAAATTGTACTACAAGGTTCCGTATCACAAAGGGAAAGCTGGGTTTGAGTTTGGGGGTAATTGCCCTAAACGTTTAGGAATTTGGGGCCAAAAAGGGGCCAAAAAACACATTTTTTTCTAGTTTCCAGACAATAACTTGTGTTCAAGTGTATGGATCTCTCTGAAATTGTACTGCAAGGTACCATACCACAAAGGGAAGGCTGGGATTGAGTTTGGGGGTGATGAATCATAATGGGGGTTCAAAAAATTTTGGGGGGGGATTTATTTTTTTCCTTTTTTTTCTTTTTTTCCTTTTTTGTTTCTTTTAAAATTTTCCATTTTAAGTTGGTTATTTCTGATTTATATTTAAAATCAAATAATAATGATATGGTAGGAGATACACACCAAACAGGATGTGTAAATTATTATATAATAAGTATTGTGCAATAGCAAGAAATTTTCAATTGCACAGTATTGCACAATAGCAAGAAATCTTCAATTGCACAGTATTGCGCAATAGCAAGAAATCTTCAATTGCACAGTATTGCGCAATAGCAAGAAATATCCAATAGCACAATATTGCCCAATAGCAAGAAATTGTCAATTGTACAGTATTGCGCAATAGCAAGAAATATTTAATAGCACAGGATTGTGCAAAAGAAGATACTTCCTATAAATTGCTTATTTCTTGACCAATTTCAATGGGGTTTTATTCTTGATTTCATGGGGTTCTTTAATATGCTGAATCTAACCGTGTATTTAGTTTTTGGATTTTGGGCCCCGTTTTTAAATTGGTCCACATTGAGGTCCAAAGGGTCCAAAATTAAACTTTGTTTGATTTCATCAAAAATTGAATTATTGGGGTTCTTTGATATGCCGAATCTAACTGTGTATTTAGATTCTTAAATTTTGGTTCCGTTTTCAAATTGGTCTACATTAAGGTCCAAAGGGTCCAAAATTAAACTTAGTTTGATTTTAACAAAAATTGAATTCTTAGGGTTCTTTGATATGCTGAATCTAAACATGTATTTAGATTTTTGATTATGGGCCCAGTTTTCAAGTTGGTCCAAATCGGGGTCCAAAATTAAACTTTGTTTGATTTCAACAAAAATTGAATATATGGGGTTCTTTGATATGCTGAATCTAACCATGTATTTAGATTTTTGATTTTTGGGTCCCGTTATCAACTTTGTCCACATTGAGGTCAAAAGGGTCCAAAATTAAACTTTGTTTGATTTCATCAAAAATTGAATTATTGGGGTTCTTTGATATGCCGAATCTAACCGTGTATTTAGATTCTTAATTTTTGGTTCCGTTTTCAAATTGGTCTACATTAAGGTCCAAAGGGTCCAGAATTAAACTTAGTTTGATTTTAACAAAAATTGAATTCTTAGGGTTCTTTGATATGCTGAATCTAAACGTGTATTTAGATTTTTGATTATGGGCCCAGTTTTCAAGTTGGTCCAAATCGGGGTCCAAAATTAAACTTTGTTTGATTTCAACAAAAATTGAATATATGGGGTTCTTTGATATGCTGAATCTAACCATGTATTTAGATTTTTGATGTTTGGGCCCCGTTATCAACTTTGTCCACATTGAGGTCAAAAGGGTCCAAAATTAAACTTTGTTTGATTTCATCAAAAATTGAATTCTTGGGGTTCTTTGATATGCTGAATCTAACCATGTATTTAGATTTTGGATATTGGACCATAATAGGTGAATGTCCAATTTAAAATTTTTAAGTTCTTAGACCACATTCAATCTGTGTTAGAAACCTATGCTGTGTCAAATATTTAATCACAATCCAAATCCAAAGCTGTATCAAGCTTGAATGTTGTGTCCATACTTCCCCCAACTGTTCAGGGTTCGACCTCTGCGGTCGTATCAAGCTGCGCCCTGCGGAGCATTTTATTTTTGAGAGTGGAGCCATTTGTGTTGTTCCAACACATCTAGTTTTTTTTTCAGATGATTAAAGTTTGTTTTCACATAATCACACGAATTTGTTTGACATTAGATATTCATTAAATAGGCTACCTTTCAGTTTTAAAGATTTTTAGATTAGTTATTCTAGAGTTGTGGGAATTTTAATATCTGGAGATAACTTTTGAGTGTACTTTCAAAGATCGTCTTAAAATTGTTACACACTTTCGATCAGTTTTAACTTGAATGAAATCTGCATGCAATGTCCACTATCACTGATTTGAGAACAGGCCACCCATACACTTCTGGTGCAGCTGATATTATCAGGAATGAATCAAATGTCCTCCAGATTCATGATATAACAAACAACATCCAATTTGCATATTGCTTGTATATTTTTGTCTAATTTGAATAATTCTGAATGATTGTTTTATTCTAACAGTAAATGGATTGCCGCAGCCCTTGGAGAGCAACCAGATAAAACACCTGAAAACTGAATTACGGCACATTAGAGACCGTGTTGTACAGATCATAGATACATTAGAACCTCAGTCTGATATCACTAGCTCTGTAGATACAGTTTCTAAAGGTACACACCTACATTCACACAGTGGTAGCTATAGAAGTTTTTATTGTTGAAAAATGATATTAAAACTGTCAATGCTGTCTGTCATGAATCTATTAAATGAGATTCATATCTTTACTACTAAAATAATGAGGTCCAATTTGTTAGCTGGCATGACATAAAAACAATGAATCAAAGAATTCAACTTTATATATAACTTATAAAGGACAATGGTGTTGTTTAAAAATTACACCATCCCAGGCCATTTCGTTTTCCACATAATTAATATTACCAATAATTAACAAGTTCAGGGTCGAATCCGATACCGATACCAATAGTATATGTCACTTGTAGTTTCCGGTTGTATAAAGAAAACAACGAAAGGTTCAAACAGAAAGATTTTGAAAGCAAAGAAAACTGTGCACCTTATCAGCATGACTTAATCAGATGACAATACAAATATTAAAAATCCAGACTAAAAATAATGCGTAGGTAATTCAGTCACGGACCCACATGGGTATGTTCTAGTATTTCTAGTAAAAATTTAATAATTATATTAAATGATCACAACAAAACATAAACAATGGCTAATCTAGATATTTTGTAAGGTAATTGTGTAGACTTACATGAATAACAATATATTTACATGAATGACCCTTAGAAAAGCTGTTCATTTGATCATTCAAAGATTAAAGAACACAAACAAAGTAAAGTATACAAATGACAATAATGAATAATAAATATGTAATATTTTTGTATAGCAGTTTAAACAATATATGTACCCCATGTCATAAGCATATCCTTCTTAAATGTACAATGTTTCAGAAGAACCGATGGTTACAGAGAGTACTCGGCAAGTCACACAGCCAACACAGGCAAGGCCCACCAACTCTGCCCAGGGCAAAGAATTTGACCCCCTGTCATCACAGAAAGTTACAGAAGATAAAGTTATGTCATCATTTGGAATAAGTTCTCAAACAGGTATATATACCCCTATGTCATAGACATATTCATCTTACAATGTCAATGTTTGGACTCAGTTCTAAAACAGGTATGCAGAATTCAGACTATTTTGAAAACCAGTCCATATTTGTTACAATGATTTAGTTGCAATATTTTAAACTTTGAGAAATAGTTTCAAAAATGAGTGTCTTCAATTATAGAAAGGTTCTTAAAACAGAGTCTATCATAGATCTGCCATTAATAAAACAAATTCTCCAAATATTAAAAATACATTAAATAAAGAGTCCTGGTCCCATCTTTGCTGGACATGTGGACCAGTACATAAAAGTGTGTAAAGAACCCAGACCATAAAATAAATAACTTAGCTTCCATTTTGCTTTTGTAATGCCTGCAACTGCTGGACACTATGTTAAAAATAGGACATATGATCAGCTTGAGATGCATTGAAGGAGAAAAAAGCATGAAATATTTTTTGATATTGCTACAATTAGGTTATTCAATTAATTGAAAATTAATTAAAAATAAATAGTCTAAGATATGATGTTTTATTGAATTGTATTTACAAGGAAATGATATAGAATCAATCTTTTTTTTCTTAATCTTTCCATATTTTTACACAACCGTTGCTGCTTAAAAACATAATATTTAAAGTAGGCATAGTTTCTGATTTGAATGCTTAATTTTATAATGGTGATCAAGCCTATTGCTCAGTCATAAGTTCTTTGAAAAATGTAATTATAATAATGACTACTGTTTATTATTGAAAGAAAATTACAACTGTCATTTAGAATCTGAGGATGATACACATTTCCATCTTCATTGTTCTTTTATACTCTCTACTCACAGGTTCCAGTATATTGAAGAGTTCTAACATGACACAGTCTAATTTATCTTTACTAATTGCAGAAAGGCCAGGTACTCCTGATAGCATCAATTCTGTTGGCTCCGCTTCTAGCACCAACCAAAGACAACAGCAGTCCACACCCTCAACACCACAACACATGCCACCTCCCCAACAGCCTTTGGCACAACCACCATCACAACAGCCCGCCCAAGGCTTCCAACCTGTTCAACCACAACAACAAACACAACAACATCCAGGACAACCTGGCTTCCCACAACAACAACAGCAAATGTATTCTGGACAACAAGATCAAAGACAACAAATACCTGGACAGCAACAACAGGGTTGGTTTCATTGTACTGTGGATTCGTTTATTTTCGTGTGTATCAGTGTTCGTTGATTGAGGAAAATTTGCATTTTCGTGTATATTTGATTTTGTTTTGGCAAAGTCTGCATACCATCATATGTAAAATTTGTAATTTTTTGTACATTTAAATTTGTGGTTCACCTATCCCCATGAAATGGGGTGGGGGTGGCGGGGAATGAATTGTTTAGCCCTTATTTTATTCTGGTATATTATTTTGAAGGGGCATTAGCTGTCAGATGCATTTCATTGACTGTCTCAAATTCTCATATATAGATTTATGACATGCATTTACTAAATTGTATATCGAAATTACAAAAAGTGCATAGAAACAGTTAACAATCATAGTCTATCAGCATTCCATGGGTATTTTTGACTTGACGCCATCTAATTAACCATCCAGATGACCACCAAAGAATGCTGAAAGTCATATGACCTGATATAAACATAAATACAGTAATGGACTATGTATAATCTGTGTTGGTACATAATCTGCACACCATTTTTTGCTGGGGGAATAAACAAAAAGTTTTTGTCACTTGTTGAAAACGTCTAGTAATTTTAAGGCATTTGTGATAGTTTGCCTTTTTCTCATGGAAAACCCTGCTTTACATCTTCAAGGAGATCTTGAAAATATTTTTAAATGATTCTAGAACACTTCACACAAGTGTTAAAACAAGCCAAAGTTACAGAAACACAACTGGCAAATTTGTTTTTGTCATTAACTAGAAATAGGAAAAGAATCTCCAAATCACAAACAAATATGGTGAGAGTATGTCGAAATTCCATAGAGATATTATAAAAGAATAGGACTTTGAAAGTAAAGCAGTGTCGTCCTTTAGAGTAAAATACTGTTAAGTTTATTCATTTAAATGTTTGAAGGAAAGTTTATTCATTTAAATGTTTGAAGGAAAGTTTATTCATTTAAATGTTTGAAGGACCTTAAGCTAAAACAAAACACATGCAACAGTATAAAACACCAAACCTTAATTAATAACCGATTATGTATTGTGGTTTATACATACTTATGTTATGATATGAAAAGAAAGGAGAAATTTGTAATGAAGCATTTACTTTTAATATTTATTAGTATATATTGGATTTTTAAATTAAAATTGCATGTTGATATGTATTAGTTAAATTATTAAAGTATTTGAAAAGAAATAAGGGAGCTCTCTACAATTTCAAGAACAAACATGGAGAAACATAAACAAACATTGCAAAACAAGATTTTCTCTTATTTCTTGCTTATAGTACTCTATTATTTACACCCATCCCTGGCAACTTTAATTTTAGAGTAAAATACTGTAGACAATACACGGCAGAATTCAATATAAGCATGATATAGACAGCAAGCACATACAATCATATAATGACAATTTTTCTAGGTCTGTTTGATCTTATGTCATAAGATTTTAAAAATATGTAAATGATCGTTTTTACCTGTATAAGATTGATTATTTCATAGGGCCAAATCATTGAACAGAATGGTTATCCCCGATTGCTCCTTTGTTTCACTATTCAATGTTGACATTATTTTTTTTTCAACCTGTCTCTAGGTTAATTGTGAAGTTGAAGGTCACATGAATACGGTTTCAAATGATGTTGAATTATTGACCGGCAAGCCAATAATACATCATCCAAGTTTTTTAGCTTATTTTTACAACACTGAACCAAACTGACTGCTTATAGAGAAATATTGATATATTCAATATTTTGCTTTCATAAATTTTTTAACAAAAGACTCTTAATTTTTACAAAGATCATCTCCTCTGAAACTACTGAGGGCTATTCCAAAAAAAAAATGTAGGGGGGGGGTTGGGGGGTTGGAAGGTGGTTTGTTTCAGCACCCGCCACCCGGTCAATTGTAATTGAGAATCATAGTGCATTATAGTGTGAAAAGTTGCTCTGATACCCATCACCCATGTATTATTAATATATAGTGCCTTCCAACCCCCTATACATTTTTTTCTGGAATAGCCCTGAGCCAAATTTAACAAAACTTGGCAGCAATCATCAATGGGGTATCTAGCTAAAAAGATGTGTCCAATTATCCCGCCTGCCAAGTGCCAACCAAGATGGCCGACTTGGCAAGAAATAGGTCATATGTAAGTTTTGTCCATTATTTTGAAAACCACCGCCAGAATAGAGAAAATCTGACAGGGGCAGAAATGTTCAAAATGTTGAGCTCTACCCATTGGACAATTTTTTCTTATTGGAGTTATTGCCCTAAAATGACAAATTTTACTACTTTTTGTCCATTTTGCCTTTTATCTTGAAAAATATAATAGATAGAGAGAAACTTTAAACAGCAAAACTGATCAGCAAGACAAGATCATCAAATAAGTCTATATAGTGGAAACCGTTTATCGACTCCTTATTACAGTTATTGCCTTTTAATGACAATTTTTGGCGTCTTTGCCTATTATCTTGAAAACTATGAAAGATAGATAGAAACATTTAAAAAACAAAAATGATCTGCAAGACAAGATCTGCAATAAAGTCAAATTCTGCCCATAAAGTTAGTAGATAGGAGTGCTTGCCCTTAAATGATGATTTGTTTTTACCCTTGTTTGTGTTTTTGGCTAAGCTAAATAAGATAGAGAGAAACTGTAAACAGTAGTCTGTAGACAATGTTGAAGATGCATATATATCTAGTTGAGTGACATCTGCTCTTTAGGGCCTCTAGTTTCTAAATCTTAGCCTTAAAAAGTTATAACAGTGGCATTTCATTATCTTCTCTTTTAGTTTATTCTGTTCTGCTTAGGAACTATGTAGATTTACTTAATATGAAAACACAATTGACAAAAATGAACATGTTTAGAATATAAGATCCATATTACCATTTCAACATAAGAACTCAGTAATGTACTGTTTTTCAGCTGTATAATAATTTGAATTTTCAGTTTCCTTATTAAAATTCCCTTTCTAATTACAGGATATGGAGTACCAGGACAGCCTCCAACTTCACAACCACAAAGATTCCCCAGCCCTCAACAGCCCCAAGCACAACCACCTATGTCAGTTCCTGGTCAGCCAGGTTTCCAAGGACAACCTCAACAGAATCCACAACAACCCAATCAGACACAACAGCAACAACAACAGTATGGGTATTATGGACAACCGAATCCACAACAGCAACAACAGACTCCACAGATATCACAGGCTCCCTGGAATCAGCAACAACCACAGGTATCACATATAAAGTTTAAGGATAGTCACACTGTACCCGGTCATAACAACCACAGGTATCACATATAAAGGTTAAGGATGGTCACACTGTACCCGGTCATAACAACCACAGGTATCACATATAAAGGTTAAGGATGGTCACACTGTACCCTGTCATAATAACCACAGGTATCACATATATCACAGGCTCCATGGAATCAGCAACAACAACCACAGGTATCACATATAAAGGTTAAGTCACACTGTACCCAGTCATAACAACCACAGGTATCGCATATAAAGTTTAAGGATAGTCACACTGTACCTGGTCATAACAACCACAGGTATCACATATAAAGGTTATGGATAGTCACACTGTACACAGTCATAATAACCACAGGTATCACATATAAAGGTTAAGTCATACTGTACCTGGTCATAACAACCACAGGTATCACATATAAAGGTTAAGGATAGTCACACTGTACCTGGTCATAACAACTACAGGTATCACATATAAAGGTTAAGTCACACTGTACTCAGTCATGGTCAGTGAAAGAAGATCTCACTTGGTACCAAAATAGGAACCCAAACCTCAGTCTTGTTTGTTTCAATTTTCTACATATGCAAGCAACTACACATTATTTGATTAGAAGAAGTGTTATAATTATAGAATCTGAATAAGAGATGTACTAAAAATAGTTAGTATATGTAGACATCAAGTAGGGATGTCAATGAGTACTATATAGAAATTAAAAAAGGATGCTGTAAAAGGCAAATCATGAATGTAAAAGATTGCATAATTTTATGTTATCAAAATAAAAAAAATAAGTCTTTTATATATGACTTGATGAGATACAGTACAGTTTTGCTCCTGCTTGTTTTTTATTTATACATAGCATCGTAGTATTTTAAAACTTTAAATTGAAGTTATTATAGGGAGCAAAGGACAAATTAATCCATAAAAATTAATAAAAGAAATTTCTCAGTATTGAATAAAAAGAACATTGGATGTTCATTGTCATTTTCTTAGCTTTCTACCCTAGAGATATTTCAAATTATTAGATTTAACAACTAGTCTTTAATTTTGTACAAAATTAAGTATCTAGATCTAGGCTAGTTGATAATATTAATGTCAAAGAGGACAAATTTTGTTAGTATTTGGCTTGATTTTGATTAATTACTTTATTTAATGATCAATACATTTATTAATGAAATGTTTTTGTAATTTTTATTTTAGAATGTGTACCAAGGTTATGCTGGACAACCACAAGCCCAGCCTGGTGCCATGCCAGGTGGATCACCGTCTGGTACCCCAGGGACAGGTAGTCCAAACCCATACTCTAGAGGGCCAGGTTCTGGATATGGAGGAGGATATCCCAAGCCATCACAGGGCTACCCAACTACACCACAAGGATATAAATGAAATTGATGTTGTTAGGAATTTTCAAATTGACCAAAAATATTTATCTGTTATTGATCATTCATGGACAACTGGTTGTGGTAAAGTTGCTGATTTAGCAGAAAAGATGATGTTGATGTTTATTAGCCTGAGGCTGTGCCTATCTTCCATCAACCAGTCAATTCCCTTTTTCTTTTCTATACTGTCTATATACACACAGCATTTGTTCATTTATTTCATATCATTATATGAGACCGCAAAACTGGACAATTGACAGACTTCATTATAGCAATATTAAAAGAGAGCACTTTTTCTTATTTACTTATGCTTATTTATAATGAGCCATTTTTTATCTATCATATAGACTGATATAAATGTATTCTAATTTAAAAAACAAATAGCTTTTTGCTATTGCTTCAACTGAATCAAAGTTGTCTTAGAATTTCATTATTAGATGTTGTTATTATATAAAAAAAAAATTCCTAACATGAAGCTTAATGTTTGTTCAATGTGTTCTTTGTTTTCTCCCCTAGCTGAACAAAGAGTCTGTCTTTGAATTTTATAAATGTGCAATACTTTCTATATGTCTGCTGTATAATTGGATAAATACTGAGGATTCATTAATATTCATGAGATACCAGTTGTCATGGATTGCATTGGTATAGGTGGACCACAAATTTAGATATTCAATAAAGTACAAATCTTCTATAGGCATCAGACTTGGACAAAACCATGAAATCAAATACAATGTATCCACGAAAATATAATGTTTCCTCAATCCACGAAAATTGGCACCCACAGAAATAAATGAATCTGCAGTAGTATATGTATATATGTTATAACAGTGGCTTTGAAAAGTGAAAACAAGTAAAGTAAATGAAATCAAGAGTAAAATGTAGTTAAAAACTTTTTATTTCTGTCTTTTTTTTAATTTTTGTTGAATAATTCTATGTCATTGGTTTTTTTTTGTTTTTTTGTTTGTTTTTTTTAAGATTTTGATGATTACACAAAATCTTTTATCCTTATCTTCTGAAGAAAAAAAATGGACTTGTGTATATAGAAAATTTTCTAAAAACAGAAAAAATAAAACACTAGTTTGCCTGTTAGAAATGTTCTACAAAATGTGATCATAATTTTGTCTAGATCATTTAATGTCAATTAAGAATTTAATTATCTTAAATATTTGGACTTGAACACCACTGTTGGATTGTTGTCTCTTTACAAAACTTTTCATATCATTGCATTTTGTTTTTGAGTATGTAATTTCCTAATACTGGTAGTCTTATTTTTGGTTACTTTAGAAAATAATTATGTTTACAGAACAAATGAAAACTGTTTAAAAGAAGTATTGTATCCTTTATAAATTCCTGAGAATTGGATAATTAGAAATATCATAAAAGCCAAATACTGTAGTGTATCAGGAATGTAAACTGTTTTATTATATAATTTGAGACTATTAAAGTGTACACTTACTTTTGTTTGTATTTATTTTACTGTTGATATTTGATATTTCATTTTCAAGAGTGCTTAAAACGGACAAAATATGTATTGATACAGTTTAGTTAAAGCTAGTGTAATTATTTTGCCAGAAATATATCTGAAGGATGGATGTGTATTGGGAATACTTGTAACATATGTAGTATGAGAACATATGAAGAGTATAACTAATTTACCCAGAGTTTATTTCACCCAAAGCAGTCATAGTGTCTAAATAAAAAAAAAATGTTAAAAATTTACTGGAACTTAAATCTTAATGAGTAAATATTACACATTGCGTTTAAGATTTAAAGACAATTTAACACACAACCATGAATTGGAAATGTTACGCAACAATGGAATTTTGTTTTTGTTGAAAACAGTTTTGATACAAAATTGCAAATTTTGCATGTTTTTCTAAAAATTTGCATCAAAGGACATCTGTAACCAGCACACATTTTTTAAGTTCACCTGGTCCAAAGGGATATGGCATTTGTTGTATTTTGTATGTCATCCATCGTAGTTGTAACTTAATTTTACAAAAGTCTTCTTTGAATCTACTGCATTAACTGGAAGTGTTTTTTTTATATGTGACTGATGATCCTGCCTGTCAAACAACATGGCTGACAGGGCTAAAAATAGAACATGAGTGTAAAATGAAAGTATTGTACATTGTCTTTTAAAGCTTTTAAGATAGAGTTATATGTTTACCAATTTTTTATTTTTTTTCCAAAACTATAGTAGATGGTGAGAACCTTTAAACAGTAAAAGTCTCAGCAGGACAATATTAGCTTATAAGTCAACATGACTTAAAATGTCAGTCTACTATTTAAAGGATTCATTGCCTTTGAATGAGAATCATCCCCATTTTTGCCTGAAACCTATAGAAATATTCTTATTGCACTTTTTCAATTTTATGCAAAAATGGCAAGTGAGCAATACAGACTCTTTGGAACCTCTAGCTTGTAAATGGAAGACAAATTTGAGGTAACAGTAGTTAACCAATGTTCAAAGCTCACAAATCTATTGAGAATATACAAATCAAGGTAATACAAAATAGAGTTTTGATTCAAAATTCCTGCTTATCCATTTTGATGATAATTATTCTGAATTTGCTAAATTCTTCCAAAATTTCACTTTTAGCCATCTTTAGGTATGAAACATCTTGTTACATGTACAGAAATATGGCTTAATGTTGTTTGAAACCTCATACCAATAGCTGTTAATTTAATACAGTCATTTTTTGTAAAGAGGAAATTACTTTCTGTCTTTTCTGTGATGAGTGTCGCAGAATGTGAGACACAGGGATTACAATCAGACTTTAAAGCTTTATATTACAGAAAGTAGAAGATCTTGATGCTTCATACCTTGTATGCAGATGCCTTATGTGAAGAAGTTTCCATCTTTCTTATGTCCATTGTCCTCATTTTCATGGTTCAGCGAATGCTTAAAAAAATTGGCTTTTATTTTTGTGACGTGAACTTTTCACTTATGAGTAAAATGATATTTATATTTGGTATCATGGTCAAGTCCATATCTCAAATACTATAAGCAAAAAGTCAACTATATTTGTAAGCAATGATTGTAACATGTAAATGCCAGACTGACAGGTTTCGTCTGACCTTGACCTCATTTGTATAGTTCTTTGGTCAATGTTATTTTTTCTGACTTGGTCTATTTGTCAGATACTATAAGCAACAGGTCAACTATATTTGGTGTATAGAATGATAGTAAAGTGTACATGTTGTCCAGCATGATTTGTCTGACATTGGCCTCATTTTCATGGTTCATTGGTCAATGTAAGTTTTGAAGGCTTTGTTTGTTTATCAAATACTGTAATCAATAGGTCAACTATATTTATGTATGTAGTGATTGTCAGGTATTCATGTCTGTCAGGAAGGGTTAATCTGACATTGGCCTCATTTTCATGGTTCATCAGACAATGTAAAGTTTTCAGGGTTGTTTGTTTTTCAGATACTGTAAGCAATAGATCAACTATATTTGGTGTATGGAATGATCACATGATGTAAATGTTGTCTGGCATGATTCATCCGACCTTGACCTCATTTTCATGGTTCATTGGTCAATGTTTAATTTTCTTAATTAGGTCTGTGTTTCTCGGATACCATAGGCAATAGGTTAATTATATTTGGTGAGTGGTATGATTGTAAGGTGCACTGGCAGGGTTCATTTGATCATTGATAATGTTGCGTTTATGTAAAAGTTATGGTAACAACTTCATTTTATACACTTTCAACATAAATTAAATCACGAAAGGTAAAGCAGGGAAGACATTTCAGTGTACACTCTTGTTGAAATAGTCCTGGTGTGAAACCCACACTGGGAAATTGACCATACCTCTCTGATATGAAGACAAACCTTGTTTTGTTATATTTCAAAAACAATCTACTGCTCTGAAACAACTAAGCTAAATGCTACCAAACTTTACATTAATGTTCCTAAAGGTATTTAATTTAAAACTTGTATCAGAGGATTTGATCCAGCAACAATGTCAAACATGGTCGCTGTTGCTAAAAATAGAACATATGCGGTAAAATGCCGGTTTTAGCTTATAAGAGCACATCTGATATACGGAAAATGACCAGCTTGACAATGTCTATCTCTCATGAAATTTTCAGAAAAATCGGATAACCGGAGTTATTGCTCCTAAAATGTAATTTGTTTGTAAATTTCAGTTTTTGGTTTTATCTGAAAACTAAAACAGATAGAGAGAAATTTTAAAGCTAAACCGGCATTTTACCGCATATGTTCTATTTTTAGCAACAGCGACCAGTAAAAATGACCAAAACAATAAGATCTACAAACTATTATAGATAGGGGGAGATTGCAAAAGCAACAAAGTTTTCGGCAAAATAATATCTACAAATAAGTCAACTTAAACCGAAATTGTTAGTTGACCACTTACAGGAGTTAGTACCCTTGAGATATGGTTTTTATCCATTTTTGTGATTTTTGGCAGCAGCATTATTGATGGAGGGAAACTGTAACTAGAGGATATCAAGAGCCTGTCTTCAACATTGTAGACTACTGTTTACAGTTTCTCTCTATTGTGTTTAGTTTTTGTACAGAACACAATGAGTGTAAAACAAAATCTTCATTTAAAACACCAAAAATTGGTAGAAATCGTCTGTAAAGAGCAATAATCAGTCAACTGAAGAATTTGGCTATTAGACTTATTTGAAGATCTTGTCGTGCTGATGCTGTTTCAAGTTTCTATCTATATATTGTAGTCTTTAAGATTTTAGGCAAAAACGCAAAAAATGGTAAATATTGTCATTAAAGGGCATTAACTATAATAAGGAGTCGATTGACGATTTCCGCTGTTTTGACTAATTCAAAGATCTTGCCTTGCTGATCAGTTTTTCTGTTAAAAGTTTCTCTCTGTCTATTATAGTTTTCAAGATAATAGGCAAAATGGAAAAAAAGTAGTAACATTCATCATTTTAGGGCAATAACTCCAATAAGAAATTGTCTGACAGTTTCAAGTGACGTAAACAGATAATAGGTATAGCTCGACATTCTGAACATTTGTCAAAAGTAGCTAAAAAACATAGATGATGTATTTATTATTAGCTTGCAGGTCAATAATTTAACATCATTTGGTGCAGGCGGTGTTGCCACGATGTTACAGAAGCAAGGGTTCGAATCCCGCAACTTTATATGTGTAATACTGTCTGAAACCATGTTGGGAGGTATGATCCCGGATCCCGCTTATTGTTTTGTCAGATTCTCATTGTAATAATAGGGCTTGTAATTTCACGTGTTCCGCCCGACTTCGTTTCCCGTTTTCACGCGCAAAAATTTGACTTGCACGTGTCACGCTTACTTAAAATCGACAAAGCCCGTGTCTCGCTTGGACCCCAATGAGACCCACTTGATGTTACAGCTTACAAGCATAAGTTTTCCTACAAGGTAAGAGTGTTTTACGGGATCGTCTCCCTTAACCAAACTTCAAAACTGGCACTGTTCTAAGTCACCCTTGTTACACTTTATATGTTCACGTAAGAAGTGGCGAATTTGACCAACCTACTGAACTTCTTATCATGTGTGGATAATAGTACTAGTAAAATATAGTATTAGTTCTATACGCACCAAAAATTACATGTGAATGTGAACACAACACGTACTGATCAATGAAGGTAAAACAAAGTCTCTGGATCCTTTCCACGATTTTGGTAAGTAACTTCTGTTTCAAATCTGCCAAACAGCTCTTAACTTTCATTTTTACGTAATAAGATCATTAGTATCATGTTTCCAGGGACAATTCTATTAGATTGCATTTGGAAGTGAACCGGTTTATTTAAGCTCAATTTCTTTATTTCTTTCCTTAATGTTTTATTCCGTAATCCGATAAAAAAAACCTACATTTTGTAGATTGAAGAAAGTATATATGTTCTCCCATTTATTTGTATTGTAGTCCTGTCATGTAATGTTGTCATTTTAATGTTATATTTAACATTGCCATAAAAGCGGGAGGTTTGGCTAGCCACAAAACCAGGTTCAACCCACCATTTTTTTCTTAAAATGTCCTGTACCAAGTCAGGAAAATGGACATTGTTATATTATAGTTCGTTTCTGTGTGTGTTACATTTTAATGTTGTGTTTCTGTTGTGTCGTAGTTCTCCTCTTATATTCAATGTGTTTCCCACAGTTTTTAGTTTGTAACCCGGATTTGTTTTTTCTCAATCGATTTATGAATTTCGAACAGCGGTATACTACTGTTGCCTTTATTCAGTACACGCAAAATATCACCAACCAATTAGTGCAATCAAACCATAAAATTAAACGAACACCACGAATGTCATATGTGTTTCTACACAAGTTATATGAACATATACAAAACTGTTTTATAATTAAGGCAGGCGGGCCCTTTCGCTAGGGACATTTAAAAAAAAATGTATTATAAAGTAGGCAAGTTCCAGTAGATCCGCAATGTGAATTAACGTAATTGATCGGTAAGATGAACATGAACATTAATTGTATTTTGAGACAACTATATTTCAGGTAGGACTGTATATTAGAACCTGTATATCGGAATCACATGAACACACTAATATTGTTTTTAAGTATGAGCCGGATTCGGTGAGTAATAACTTGAGTTTTGGCTCATAGTATGTTGACAGTGAGTAAGTAACGACAGGAGAAGAGAAATAAGAAATAATTCACTAAATGCTTCAAAATCAATACACAAACATATAATTCTTTGTAAAGTGTGATTGAATTAAATAAAATTACTTTTTTGTTTAGACTTTTTATGATAACCGGTGATAACTTAAATTTTAAACTCCATCGCCTATCAGTAAATGACCAGAAATGCGTCAATAAGTATGTCAGATAAGTCAGATATTTTTATCAATTATGGACTTTTGACGAGGTCAAAATGTTATATACCTGTTCAGATTATATTGACCGAGGACGAAATCCTAGGTTCAATATAATCTAACAGGTCCATATATAACGTATTGACTGAGTGAAAGTCCTTAATTCATATCTTACATATGTAAATAGTGTATCATTGAAATAGAACTCAATGTTCTTTCTGTGTATTTTACATTGTATTTTGCAAGATTTTTAATATTGACCGTCGATATATATAGAAATAGAAACATAGCGTCAATATACTTAAATACCTTTAAATCACGCGATCGTAATAATTAATGAAAAAATAAGAATGATACACCATATGTAATATATACATACATTACATACTTATGCTTCATCTACAAATAAGGGTTATTGACGGGCAACATGGTACTAAAGACATAAATACAATATGATTGAAAAAACACATTAATACACAATGCAACAAAAAAACTATATATTTAAGGAAATTCAAACACTAAAAACTTATTCGCAAATTAAGGCCACATGTATGCATGTATGTATAGACTTAAATTCCAACGAGCTATAAAAGGCCCCGACATGAAAAATATGAAACAATTCAATTGAGAAAACTAAGCCTAATCTATAACAAAAAAAAAATAACGAAAAACAAATATGACAGACATGAACCAACGACAACCACTGAACTACAGGCTCCTGACTTGGGACAGGCACATAAAGAATGTGGCGGGGTTAAACATGTTTGTGAGAGCTCAACCCTTCACCTATCTGGGACAGTGGTGTAACAGCACAACATAAGAACAACTATAAAAATCAGTTGAAAAAGGCTTAACTCATCAGATTGATACAAAGCAGAAAAAACATCAAACCTAACACAGAGATTGGCCACCCGCTTAAAAATGGATTATAAATAATAAGAAGATGTGGCATAATGCCAATGAGACAACTCTCCACCAGAGACCAAATAAAGTAGAATTTAGCAACCATAGGTCACCGTACGGCCTTTAACAATGAGTAAAACCCAAAAGGCCCCGAATGTTGCAATTTTAAAACAATTCAAACGAGAAAACTAACGGCATGATAAACGAAAAACAAATATAATTATCAGCAACAAACGACAACCACTGAATATCATGCCAGTAGAACATACATTGTAAGCAAGGGGGCGGGGTGGACGACAGCAGCCCCTCCCTCCCCAGAGGCTGAACGATTATAGTAAAGTACATTATTATTACCGTAAAAAGAATGATATGATAATGAGTTTTTGTGCCAACAACTACATGTATTTTAAGAATAACATTGCAGTTGGTGTTTTACTTTCCTCAAGATGAAAGGCTTCGTTTTATATTATATTATCTTCAGCAAATGTTTGGAGTGATTCTTGATATACTTCATGGCACCAAAAATTGTTATGCCTACAACATGACGATAGCAGAGCACTCAGTTATACACATGCCCGACGGTTTAGCATCAATTGAGGTAATTTTATTTTACTTTTTTTAGTATAAATCGAAAAGAAGGAAAATATATCAAGGAGGCAAGCAAAACCATAAGTCCAATAAAAACGAACAACACAATGGTCAAAAACAATAAGTCCAATAAAAACGAACAACACAATGGTCAAAAACAATAAGTCCAATAAAAACGAACAACACAATGGTAAAAAACCATAAATCCAATAAAAACGAACAACACAATGGTCAAAAACCTTAAGTCCAATAAAAACGAACAACACAATGGTCAAAAACCACAAGTCCAATAAAAACGAACAACACAATGGTCAAAAACCTTAAGTCAAATAAAAACGAACAACACAATGGTCAAAAACCATAAGTCCAATAAAAACGAACAACACAATGGTCAAAAACTTTAAGTCCAATAAAAACGAACAACACAATGGTCAAAAACCACAAGTCCAATAAAAACAAACAACACAATGGTCAAAAACCATAAGTCCAATAAAAACGAACAACACAATGGTCAAAAACCACAAGTCCAATAAAAACGAACAACACAATGGTCAAAAACCTTAAGTCAAATAAAAACGAACAACACAATGGTCAAAAACCCTAAGTCCAATAAAAACGAACAACACAATGGTCAAAAACTTTAAGTCCAATAAAAACGAACAACACAATGGTCAAAAACCACAAGTCCAATAAAAACAAACAACACAATGGTCAAAAACCATAAGTCCAACAAAAACAAACAACACAATGGTCAAAAACCATAAGTCCAATAAAAACGAACAACACAATGGTCAAAAACCATAAGTCCAATAAAAACAAACAACACAATGGTCAAAAACCATAAGTCCAACAAAAACAAACAACACAATGGTCAAAAACCACAAGTCCAATAAAAACGAACAACACAATGGTCAAAAACCTTAAGTCCAATAAAAACGAACAACACAATGGTAAAAAAAAGAAAAGCGGCTAAAAGAAAGAAAAAAAAACAGTCCAGTAACATACACAGAAAGATAAAGAAATAGCAGCATGAACCAGGGAGGGGTATAAGCTACGATAGTTCCTGCTTCACTAGTGGGACTCGTCGTGTTATTTCAATGCAAGTATACATGTCAGTGATGAATGCCAACTTTTTGATGAATGAAACATATCTAAATCTGCATTCAGCGAAACAAATGCTCCTTGGTGGTTAACCAGATCATGATGGAGTGCGTAAACTAACTTTCGAAGAGATGGTGTCAATTTTCACATTTAGAACCCTTGGTTTAATAGCTTTTTTTGTAAAGTTACAGCGATATCTATCACTCTTATGACTGTTTTCTTCCAACTGGGCAAATGATCATAATAGCACCTTAAATTTTGACGTCAAAACATTTCTTGCTGTCTAGATGTGTTATCTCCTTGTCTTAAAAATGGAAAACAAGGAATAGGTTGTATTTAGTTATAACACAAATTGACAGCGAACGCTTGACAACAATATAACCGGGAAAACGTCACGTTCGGGAACTATTTACAAGAACTCGGAAAGGGCTCAATATTAACACGACTATGTTTTTTTATGTTGCATATTTATTTATTTCAAACGTGTCTTTATTTTAAAACGCTGAATTTGATTATTGATTGACAAGTTAATCCGGTGTTGGTAAAAAGTGCGAATTACAGTCTGTTTTATACTCGTCAACTTTAAAAAAGCAATTGTCGCTATTTCACGAAGTTTGGCCTGAAAACACGATTTCGATTATTGTTATATACAGGACAATGTTGGTATACATTTCATAAAGAATACTTAGCTGTCGTTTCAGATGATGAATTTTGAATGGATTAATACTTGATTTTATAAAATTTTGCTTGGACAGTCTTACCCTGCATTTCAAACTGTAAACATGTGTAAATAATTCCGTTTTATATATTTATTGAAAACTGTCTTGCATTTAAAGCAGCCAAAGTGTCACTAATAGACCAAACAGACTTTGAATAATGTACAGCTCTGTAACCCAATAATTTATGGGGTTAATATGATAACACAAGAAAAGCTTTTAATGTTGTTACATGTATTTATTTATCTCATAGTCATCAAGAGACTTTTAGTATTGGACAAAAGCGAATTCTGTATACCCGGTTTTTTTCCATTGTCTTTGACCTCATTTTCATGGTTCATTGACTACTTGGAAAAAAAGTTATGATTTTTTGTAATGTTATAATTTCTCTCTTATTATGAGTAATAGGATGACTATAATTAATATGTGCGTACCTTGCAAGGTTTTCATGCCCGTCAGACAATTTTCAACTGACCTCGACCTCATTTCATGGATCAGTGAACAAGGTTAAGTTTTCGTGGTCAAGTCCATATATCAGATACTATAAGCAATAGGTCTTCTATATTTGGTGTATGGAATGATTGTAACGTGTACATTTCCAACTGGCAGGTGTCATCTGACTTTGACCTCATTTTCATGGTTCAGTGGTTAAAGTTAAGTTTTTGTGTTTTGGTCTTTTTTTTCCAATACTATATGCAATAGGTCAACTATATTTGGTGTATGGAAATATTTTACAATGTACATGTCAGTATGGCAGGTTTTATTTGACCTTGACCTCATTTTCACGGTTTATTGCTCAGTGTTTAGTTTTTGTGTTTTGGTCTGTTTTTCTTAAATTATAACCAATAGGTCAACTATATTTGTTGTATGGAATGATTGTAAGGTATATATGTCTGTCTGGCAGGTATCATCTGACCTTGAGCTCATTTTTATGGTTCATTGGTCAATGTTAAGTTTTCATGGTTAAGTGTGTTTCTTTGATGCTATAAGTAATAGGTCAAATATATTTAATGCATAGATTGATTGTAAGGTGTACATGTCTGTCTGGCATGGTTCATCTGACCTTGACCTTATTTTCATGGTTCATTGGTCAATGTTTAGTTTTCCTGTTTAAGTCTGTTTCTTAGAAACTATAAGCAATAGGTCAAGTATATTTGGTGTATTGAATGATTGTAAGGTGTACATGTATTTCCGGTTTGGTTTATCTGACCTTGACCTCATTTTCTTGGATCATGTGACGTTTATGTGATACTTTTAGTAAAGCTTTATATTTAGGACTATCAGCATAAAATCAATGGTCAGTAAAGAAGGCGAGACATTTCAGCGTGTGCACGCGTTATACATTGTCATGGGAATACAACACATAAATGCAATCAGTTAGGAATTTACTGGCATTATAGGCTCCTAGGGAAGTTATAAAGTATTCTTTTTATTCTTTTATTTTATTTTGTTTTCTTTTGCAGGCGAAGGTGTTAAATTTGATAGCAACCAGTACCAATCTACCAAATGTAACTCACGCAGAAATAAGCTCACGGTTTAGCAGAAATTTTGCGCATTTCTGTAAAAATCATGTATTATATCTTTTAAACTGATTTTTAGAACTATAATATAGACAAAACGTATGAATTATTCTAACGCACTTTTAAATACTAGTATGTGGTTAAGTATTCAGAAAGGGATATTTTTGCGTCTCAGACACAACTTAAAGTTATGTGTATTTGTAACCTTTTTCCTTATTTTATAAAATGTGAATTTTTTGAATGAAAACAGCATTTGTACTAAATCAAAGTTAGGAATTTTGCCAGTGGATGTCAAATGTTGTTTGCTGACGGAGGACATTATTTTGTCTTCTGATACCTTATGATCATCGATAACTGCTGACCGATACGATGTGTCTGTGTCTCAACTAACTAGAGTTATATTTTCGAGATCTTAGGTCTTAAGTTACCAGAATAGTCGCCTGGTTTGTAATTTTACCGATTGTGTCTTATTCCCGATTGTGACATTTTGACTAAAGTATGAATTCGCATGGCGGGTGATGCATACATAGCAGGAAACGCTTACACTATCGACACATCGCTCCTTTTGGAGTTTATGCTATTCCCTCAGTTTTTTCCCTTGATTTGTAGCTTCTTTGTACATCGGTACAAACTACTATTGGTTATAATTTAAGAGTATTTGTGTATTTGGGATGGTGTCGCATTCAACTTCATTACTCGTCAAATTTACTAATAAGGACGTGTGTACATGTGAGTAGTGTGGTGAGCGATGAGTTTTTTTAGCTTATGTTTTGATACGAGAAATAGGGCTGTTATGGTTGTTGTTAGGAGTAAAATGTCCTTTAAAATGTTTAATACGAATATCAGCTATGTTATTACTGAATTGAAAAAAGAAACTAAGGTTTTTTTGTCAGATTTTTCTCGTTTTATCCATTTTATACAATAAATATGGAGCGAGTCGTAGATGATGTCACGACACACATTCCAATTAATTATTTACAGGGGCGACATCTACGTCTCTTTCTATGGAATGGTTGAACTCTCGTTCCTGGACTATTTGTTCGCATTACTAATTTTACATTTGATAATATCGCTTTACTTTTCAAATTGATGACTTAACACTTCGAACCGGGTGTTTACTATTTATAGATTGAAATTGTGCGTGTTCTCTAATGTTAATGAAACGTCAAACTAGAGAAATTAGAAGGACACAAGAAGATTTGACATCATAACTAATGAAGAACTGACATAAAACAAAACACGTTTTTTTTTATAAACGTTAATTAGACCATCTTTTAAATTTTCTTTGTTTGAAGTTGCCTACCCATGACTTGTAGGGTTGGGTAGAAAGGTAGGGATTTTTGTTTTGGCCAACAACATAAGTTACATGTTATAGACAAGAAAACGGCGTTATAGGAGGAAAATCTATAAAACAAATAATTTGAACTGCTTTGTGTCATAAATATTTTTCGGGTAGACTGCTTTTTAGGTGGGTATGTAGGCAACATCAAACAATCTAATTTTCTTTTTGCTTTATATGCAAAATAATCAGCTTAGAAAAAAGAGAAAATTTTAGACAATCTCCTTGAAACTTACTGGCCAAAGTGTCATACTTTTAGAATCAACAGTTCTTCAATCAAGTGTTCATGACCTTCGGTTCATTGACTCCGCAGAACATTTTTAGATTGGTGATAACTATGATACCATTACATCATACATGTATAAACTCACATATATATATAATTTAACTATATCATACCTAATGCTATGTATCCATCAAGTCTGATGCTAGATAATATATCTAACGTACCCTGTTTGGTGATACATATTTTATTTCATTTGTCACAAAATAGGTTTTGCAAAGACGGTATCTACTGTGGTGTATAAAAAGTCAAATGCAATGTATTTGGGTTTCTGCACAGTCATTGAAAATTAAAAATTTCGAGTTGAGTTTTTTTCAAACCGACTTAATGTATGCTCCAAAAAGTAGCACTAGCGGTCGTTTCGTAAAAAGGTGTGACCTTTGAAGTTCATAGTTGTAGATCTTCCGCTAACTTAACATTGAGGAAGACGTGCATAAAAGCACTGTTTCTTTCAATTGATACTTTGGTTATTACTAAGTATTTTAATATGCAATTGGCACTGTTTCTTTCAATTGATACTTTGGTTATGTTACTAAGTATTTTAATATGCAATTTTGTACCGGGTATATCATTCCATCGTATCCTTTCTTTCAAACTGACGTCAAGTCGCTCGTTTTGGTTAAGGAAAATAGCAAATACTCTTAAAATAACAGTTAAATCGGATCCTTGTTTCTCCGTTCGTGGCTTGCTGTTGGAACATTACCACTGAAATAAAACGGAGCTTAATTCCTGACTGCAAACATTTTAGTCGCGTGTTATACAAAATAGGAACTACTAATTGATTATTGTACATCATTCATTTTCCTTTAAACCACCATTAATAACTTCTCTAAATATTTTATTTTAAACCGGGTCATACTAAGTCTTGATCTCCGTATTGAATTTATGGCATTTAACTTTCAGTCGTTTCTAATTACACAATAACAAACAAATGTATATACACATGTAAATACACTTCGGAATCTTAAACTATAATACGGTAAGTATTTAGTGTTTTTCTTTTTTCGGACAGAAATATACAATATATATATGCAGCACAAGAAAAATATAAATGCGTATGATTTAGGATATTAATTCATGTATTACTTCCTATAACATATAATTTGTTGAAATGCTAAATATTTCTACAGTGCATTGTAGATTAGAGAATAGAAACGGTGAATGTATCAAACAGGCAACAACCCGATCAAAGAGCAGAAAACAGCCCAAGGCCACCAATAGGTCTTCAACACAGCAAGAAAATACCGCCCCGGAGGCGTGCTTTAGCTGGCCCCTACACAATAATACTTATACCATTTCAGCAATTGGACCCGACACTGAACACCGAAACGTACAAATGAACCGTATACATATATACATATACATACATTTAAAAATCCCCCACAAAAGCTTAGTAATAAAAGGATCTGTTTCACAAACTTTTTGAGCGATCTAAAAGCAAATACTGTGGATTCGTCATTATTTGTAGGCTACCAATTTTCATGGATTTCGTTTGTACAAGTGAACTTCGAATTTAAATCTATCAAAGAATGTAAAAAAGATACTATATGCTGGTATACAGACTTTGTCAAATTAAAAGTATGAAATCAAATATCTACGAAAATGCAAGTTGTCCTCAATCCACGAAAAGTGGTACTCACGAAAATAAATGTTCACGTGTTCGAAGAATTTAAAAAAAACCACTTTATAAAAATAAGGAAATGTGGTATGAATCGATTGCCAATGAGACAACTATCCACCCAAGTTCAAATGAAGTGGATGTAAGCAATTAGGCTGGTATGCAGACTTTCGCAAAACTACAAAATCAAGTACAAGAAAATGCATAAGTTAAACATACCAAACATTAGTACGGTGGTATGACGTTACTACATGTACACGGAAGTTCGTAAGCATGGCATCATAGATTCTTCTACAGTCTGCTCCGTTCGCTCCAAAGAGAGTCAAATTGAAAACATATCACATCATTTATATATACATCTCGGCTTAAGACCTCCTCAGAACATTTAAAGGTCACAACTGTGTATTGGTTACATAAACTACTGTAAATTCTTTATTTTCGTGAGTACAAATTTTCGTGGATTGAGGACAACTTGCATTGTTGTGGATATTGGATTTCGTAGTTTTGCCACAGTCTGTATACCAGCCTATAGGATGTTTTTAAATTCTCTGAATATTTGAATTCGAGGTTCACCTGTTCCAACGAAATCCACGAAAAATGGTATCCCACGAATAATGATGAATCCACAGTACACTAAATATCCCCGTCAAATATCGTTTTATTATGCGGCCTCTGCTCTAGTAAGTTCAACAACTACCTCTTCAGTGCTTAACACGAACCTCCTTACTACTATCAAATAATTTATCATTGAAATTAACTTTTTAAATAAAGCATAAAAATATGAAAATATTGGTTTAATTATTGTAATATTGTTTGCATCATATTTTTATGTCTATTTATGTTTTCCTTAAATGATCAAGGATTCACTAAATATACAGCCGAAATTTACCCAGGGGAACCAATTTAAAATAAAGCTAATATAAACAGCAATAACGGTACTTTGCTAGATTTAGATATTTTAGTCTCACACTGGACACTATACAAAAATTTACGACAAATGGGACGCTTTATAATTTCGCTATTGTTAATTATTCCTTCGAATAAGCCTATTTTTAAAGGATATCACTTTATCACCTTAGTAAGATCTTTGAGTAATGTTTTATCGGTACTCACATTGATGAATTAAAGTAAAACTAAATTAGTTTATCAGTATACATTTATGAAAACTTATAGGTGCTACTTCTGTCGATGTAATGTTCGTAAATGCTTTGCACAAAGTCATGCTTTCCTCATACTGTTTAAAGCGTTTTTACATTAAATCCGTTGGATGCATACTGACTGATACTTTGGCCTGTGAGAAAATGGTTTATTTATTATTTGTTATTGGCTTTGAACTAGCGTTTTCTCGTTTTACATTTGTCACTTCGATATGGGTTTTACTCATTTTTGAAGGCTGTACGGTGACCTATAGTAGTTACTGTCTGTGTTATTTGGTCTCTTGTGGAGAGTTGTCTTATTGGCAATCATACATCATCTTCTTATTTTTATATTCAGTAACTACGAGTACCATGTAATACCTGTACCTGATAGTTATGTTTATATACATTCTATATAACTATGTAATTATGTAGTTTTATAAGAAATAAATTATTCGTTAGACCGGAACTTTGTGCATGTCTTTTGTCCATAGTGCAAATCCCATAAGTTAAGCATTTAACACCAATTTTTGCAGTTATTTGTACGTTGTTACACCACTATCACAAGTTCGGGAGACAGTTGGATGCTCACAAACAATCACTTTAAGGCGAGAGAAAACCCGCCACGTTTAGTATTTGTCTATAAATCAGTGGTTGTCGTTGTTTGCTTGCTGTCGTTCTCTTTTTGGTTTATTGTTTTGTCATAAATCAGGTCGTTGTTTTTTTTTCATTT